CTTCTCTTCTCTGTGTTGACACATCTAAAAGGCTGAAGGACATGAACAAAGTAGGTCAAAGAAATCCGAATGACTTTGGGAGACTGACAAATTTATGAAAATCATCCTCTTTATGAACACTAGACTGTTCTGAAAGAAAGATATAGCAGAAAATGTATTTTTCTACCACATCTCTCTGACAAGAAGGGCAGTCAGAACACTCCAGGGTGAAAGAAAGCCAAGACATTCAACTTTCTAGAAACTCCAACGGAGGCTGGAAGCAGAAATCACAGCTCTGCATTTCATAGTAGAAACACCTTCAGTATTCTTGCCCACCTAGCTAGAAGGTTTTACTTTCACCTTAAAAGTATCTGGTATATTTTTCTGAGCCCTGTTAGGATCCTTTGGAAGGATACTTAAATGATTTTTTTTTTTTTTTAAATCCAATAGTACCTATGCAGTTGTATCTAGGACCTGATATCAGATCACACTGACCTTTCTTTAAAAAGGGAGAGAAAAATTATTTAATATGTTAGGGGATAAAAACGGAAGGAGGTAGATACTTTCCTGTTGAACTTCCACTGACTTCAGAGAAAATTACAAGACTCAGAGATATCCTCATTCCCTGATCTGGTTCAATTTACTGAGAATACTTACTTTCTCTTCCGTAGAGTAATTTTTGGGGCAAATGGAAGAAAGGTAACTCTTCTTCAAAAAGGAAACATTTAGACTCCTGATGATATAAATGCCATTGAGAAAGTTTTCTACCATTTTGCCGCTTCTCCACAAAGCAAAACATTTTCAAGTTGAAAAATGCAAGAACGTCAACATAGGTTACTCAAGCTGCAGGTCACCCACAGTTTTTGGGACACACTGCCTGGGCTAAACTCTACACCCAATTCACAATATGCACAACTTGGGCTTTTTAGAAACATGGTAACATTTTTTTAATGACAACTTATTCACATTTCCCCCTTAATTCATTGCCCTCTACCAGTAAACTTGTAGCACATCAGCTGCTAAGTGGAGTAATATTAAAAAACAAAACCAAAAGATGAAACAAAAAACCACAGCCACACATACTTTACCACAGATCTGCCAAGCATAAGGAAAATTTGGTTTCTGGATCTGTTATCAAGTAATATTTCACAGAGTCAAGCGATAAAAGTTTGTCCCAAGAAGAAAGAAGGAAGGAACAGATAGAGCTTGCAGTCTGGCACATGTACATCACATGAAAAAGTTTAGAAAGAAAAGCCTGTAGCTCCCTTTTTACCTCACCAAGACAAAATGTACAAATAACTATAATTCCCTCCTCATTCTCGGGCCAATAAAACAACTGTTAATGCATAAGGTATTATAAAATGTTTAACAGTAAAGTGCACCCTAGAATTCTGAATTTTTTGACTTGATGCCAAATCATCTATGCAATTTCTCAGTTCAGTCATATTAAGAGATGCTTCCTACCTTCTGAAACAACACTCTACTGCTCCGATTGAATAAATTTAATTCTCTCCCTCCCCACCCCCAGCTAACACAAAACAGATGGAAAATACATTACACTTGAAGTTCTAAAAGAATTATTTTCTCCTTCAAGTACCAATCACTGATTGCAGTGTGGTCCTTGCACGCACAACATATCGACTGGACTCCACTGTGAGAAAAAAAATGTAAGTTAGACCTATTGGGAGTCCACTACAGTTAGTGAGAATTTTATTAGGGTTTTGTGGTTGGTTTTTGGTTGGGTTTTTTTTGTTTTGGTTTGTTTTTTTTTTTTTTCCAGAACAGATGCAATACATGAAGTTGGAAGAACTGAATATTTCTAAGTACCTTTCTGGTACCTTTGCTAGGCAGCTTTCAAGACAATCCTTTAAAATGTACAACTTCCACACCTAAGCCTAGTGCTATACACCAGCAGACATAAGATCAACACTGAGGAGGTAGTGTCCTTGCACTTAAGCAGAAGAATCTGCAATTCACTGTTCAGAGGCTCATCTAGTTTTCTCATGTTTATTTCACCCAGGTTTAAGATTTTGATTTAAATGACAATTGTGAGCTCTCTGGAATTTGGCTTTCTTATGTGTGTGTGTTATCATGATAGATCACTGATGTGGCATGGACTCCTTGGCACACCTATAGTGAGAAGTAATCAGTGTACATCCAAAAAAAAAAAAAAAAAGATTAATTCGGTTTGAAAGATCAAGCACTGAAGATGGAACACATGGGAGCTCATTTTCCAGGTTATGTGTTTCACTGCTCATGATTGTTTTCTTCCTTATCCCTCCCAGCATTACCAGTTACCTACATTCATGCAACAAAAAAAAATCTTCTGGCAACACATCCAGTGCAGAGTTGTGTATAAATCAAAGTTCAATTGTTTTAGTATCTGAACTCAATAAATTTCACACACAGGAGAGAAGCTGTATGCAAAAGGAACACATTCTTCAATCAGAACTGGCCAACCAAGCTAGCGTAACACAAATGAAAATCCCCACTGAGTTACAGGCCGAATTTGGAACTACAATGTGGCCATCTACTCCTACCTTTGCTACAACACAGCCAGATCAGGTATTATTCTGTATCTTTAAAAGACCTTCCTATTGTGTTAATACAGCTGAGCTTTAGCAAGTGTGACAGAGGAATCACAGACTTCTGCCCATCCTGACAGAGCACAATGCTTTCTGCCATGAGTAGTCCCAAAGAAGTCGCACAGCCTGCCAGGTACAAAGTATTTGCAGAAGTGAGCCCTCAGACAGGGCTATAAAAGCTCTGGGTTAAGGAAGCACACACGAGCTTGCTTCTGCTTGATCTGTTACGCAGCTTGACAGTAACAGATAGCCAGTTGCATTAGTGTCAATGTTCAGATAAGTTTCCCTCAATATCTGTCACAAAAACCAGACACAGTATCAGTGTGCCAGCTGTATTATCGGTCACTACATAGTTGATCATACTTAATAACATCCTCAAGCGCAGACACGGCTAACAAGTACCACAGACGGCGATTACTATTGTATGCCACAGTCACCCAGATCGCTCTGACTCCGAGCTGCCAACAGCGCGCGTTCGGCGGGTGCCTGCCTCCCACCTTTTCCCTCTCAAATACATTAACTTGCCTCAATATGGAGCCAGAGTTTGTTTTGAAACTCTTAACAGGATTACTGAAAGAAAAGAGGAAAAATACCATAAATGATCCTCTGGACTGTTTCCAGAGTAGCATATTCTCTTAGCGATTGCTTTGGAAGCAAGCCAAAAATGGGAAGTGTTCTTGCAAATGAGCACACTACTATACTCAAGTACAAGTTATCTTTTAATTCTTTTGTCAACATCAGCATGGTTAGAAATTAAGAAGCCTGTTTAATAAACAGGTTATTGAATTCCAGTTACCAAACACCATTTTCTTCTCTATTCATCCCCCACCACGCTCACTCAGCTCCTGTTCCCCACCCACATCCCAACATACACTACTTTCTTTTTTGGATACTTTCTCTCCTTTATTGAAAGTCAAATAAAATTAGTATATTAACCAATCAACCGTGACTAGGTCTGTAATCAAGAGCAAGTTAACTAAGAAATGGAAAAAAGTCTGTCACTCCAAAAAAACATTCAGAAACCTCAAAACAGGCTTCTATAGGACACAGCACTTAATACTTTTAACAGAACTTTAATACAGTCTACTGAATGGTTTCGTAGGGACAGTTTTTCATATTACGATTACTCCTAATGAGATCACCCTCCACAGCGGATGAGCCCTCATCCCTCCCCAGCAGAACAATGAAAGATTTGTGCAAGGCATCAGATCAATTCCACTCACTTCACCTTGTACCAAATTTCCTCATAAAAACTCGTCAAGAACACAATCCGGGGTTTGGGTTTTTTTTCCTAAGAACAAATTATTAATAATCAGATAAACTTATTTTTCTTTCATGGCACTCATAATCCTCTGTAGAGGATTTTGAAGTCCTCACACAGACATCTCAGACTCAGTGACTGCTGCCAGCTGTGGTTTTGAGATTCTGTACGTTTCTCCTCTTCACAGATTTGTGGGTTTTTTTTCCAGTTTTTTACTTACAACATTTCTCACCAACAAATGTCTGCCTATCTTACAGTAAAAATATAGTAATATATAACTCCTTGTGTCATCTGATGACAAAAACGATAGACCTTGTGTTAAATGTCCATGAAAATACCTGTCTTCAAACAAACTGCCTATTCTCTTGATTTTACTGTAAGCAAAGACAATGAAATATCCTTTCTCACGCTAAGCAGAAGTGTCTTACACATGTAGCCCCAGTGACAGCAATGCTAAGAGTAAGTAGTATTCTAAGAATATGGGTAAATGAATGAGTCTGAATTAGAAAGTACAACTAAGTAGTTTCTGATTTGCTAGTTTTTTAAACTAATCACCATGATACCCCCGTAAGCCAAAAGTATAGAGTTAGTTTTATGCAAAAAGATATTGTAGAAGGAAAAACATACTGTATTCTGAAAACTTGATATTCTGTTTGAAAGATCTCAAATGATACTCTTTTGTCTGAATTTGTATGCACTTATGACAAACCTCTAAGGAAGTTTTTATTGCATGTGTATTCCTCCCATTACTAACCACACCTCATTCTTCCTCGGTTTTTGTTTCCTTATAATTCTGTCACAGACCATGTGAAAGAACAAATTGTTTAACTTCTCATATCTGAGATTATTAACACAATGTTCTGTAATAGGTATGACCTGCTCAGCAAGAGGTACAAGGAACATAACCTTATCCAGTTTAAGATGTTAATCCTGAATCTATATTTATACTTCATACAACTTTAAATTTCCTTGTTTAATTTTTGAAATGCAGTATGCAACTGCTGATTTCCTTATCCAGAAGCACTGATTGCTTTTGGATTAGCCAGTGTGAAGTTCACAGATTGAGGATCCAAAAACTTTAAAAACAGACTGATGACATCTTTCTCTTGGGAAAAAAAAAAAAAAAATTTGGTAGAACATGACCTATAATGTACATATTACAACAAGTTGCATGTTTACTTACGCTCACACGTGTCTCCTTTTTGCTGGTATCCTGCTTTGCAGATACATTTTCCAATAGGCACTAACCATTCTCCCTCTGCGCTGCAGTGCATCTTCGGTGAGTTCTCCGCCTCCTCCTCTGCACTGCTGACGCAAGTTCCTCGTACTTCAACTAAAGAGGAAAACTCTGAGCCAGTCACTGTGTCAGGAAAAATAGCTAAGTTCTCAATGATGGACCAGCACTTCTTGTAGTAGACTTTGACAGAGACCAAAGCAATACAGGCCCCTACATCCTGAAATGCAAGATAGAATCCTTTTTTGGACAAAGGTCCAATTTCTCTCACCTCTGTGTTAAGTTTCATTTTTCTCTCCCCAAGGTCACCCTGGGTAAAACTTTCATCTGCTGCAATAGTGTCTATTTTTACATACTGGTTTTCTCGGATATTCCTGCCAGTGTCGTAGTCTGTTTCATAATAATACAAGTTAAAAGTTTCTTTACAAGTCCCCAGAACTCCAGGAAGACTGTTACAATCCCTCAGAGTGAATTTGAGTTCTACAAAAATCCTTTGTGCATTGCTTTTTGCAATCCAGTTAGTCCGAAGCCAGTTGTTTTGGTTTGATTCCATCACCTGGCATACCTGGTATGTTCGTATAGGAGTGTAGTTTTCATCCAGTCCACTAATTTCTTCCCACTAAAACAATAACAAACAGTTAGTAATACAAAACAAGTACACTGCCAGATGCAACTATTGTGTGTTTTAAAAGGCTTCACGCAACTCAAGTTTCCTCCTTTTCTACAGTATGGCTTCATAAAAAGTACGTTATTGTTAAAATACTCCTAAGCACCCAAATGAAGAAAATACATATTAATGCAGCTGCAGGCTTGCTCACCCTCCACATCTTTTCCACACATAAATAACGTCTAAAAATCATTGTCATATCATTGGCACAGTTGTAAAGGGGAAGCTTCAGAGAAGGCTGTTCAACCAAGTTCTGATTACACACTGGGCTCTCCCACATTTCATTAAGGTCATGACAGTTTTGGGTAAGCAACGACTAAAAGGAGGGAGGCAGCTTCCCTTCCAGAGCAACCTAAAATCAGTAAAGTCTTAGAAACTGAAATTGCCTAGTGTTACAGTACATAAAACTTGTGTACATAAAACTTCCAGCTAAAGTTTCAGTTGTACAGAAAGCATGGGAAACTTGTGAGTTGTACAATTTTCAGTCCTATATGATGAAAGTGGCATAGAGAGAGAGGGCAAGAGAAAATGGACAGAATTAAAAATCTGAAAACAAGAAAACATTTTGGTTGTCCACTTTTTATTCAGTGCACCTTCTGCTCTACTTACAAACCAAAGAAGGTAAGCAGGAGCTCCTCACCTCATATTTTGTTCAGTGCCTGCATCCATGATAAAAGGAGCAAACTGCATTTAGTTGGGAGTTCAAATGAACCATGAGATTACATACATAATTAAGAACAACCCACATGACTGAAAGTTCACTGGTTCAAAGCCTGGGTTTTGTTGTTGTTCCCTCTTTAGGCTAGCAACTATGTAACACACTGGTAAGCCTGTAACAGCCCCATAGTCTTTAATCGCCTTTGGTGGCGTGGGAATTTGCACCTCCAGCAATGACAAACCTTCCACTGAAATCAACCAGGCGGATCTGCCCAGGTGGAACCCAAACAATATCTGTCTCTCACCTTTTTTCACATCTTGTAACATTTATTTCACTGCAGAAACCGCAGCTGTAATAAATTAGGTATTTTTGTTGAGCTCTCCTCACCCAATGATACAGGCAACCATGACTTCTCCGTATGGCACTTAGCCCTCTGGCCCTGTGTCAATAATGCACTTAAGCTCACGCTTAAGATCAATGACAGTACTTATGAGCTTAATGGTAAGCATGTGCTTAAGTGCTTTGTGGGACTAGCATACTCAGCACCTCTGCAGGATGGAGCACCCACTGACATTCCTTATACCGGTAACCAAGCGTGGAAGGCATTGGTTTCCCAGACTAGGAGCCATGCAGTATACGGTACTTTGCAAGCCTATTTGACAGCAAATGAGATCATTTTAATGTTGGTCTACTGCTCCAAGAAAAAGCAGATGTGGCTGAACTGATGCTGGAAGTTATCACCACAAAATATATCACAGCTGCAGACGCTGAAATGCACAGAATTTGCAAATATCAAAGCGCATTTCAAAGACCTACAGTTAATATAGATGTGGTATGTATGGTATTATATATGCATATGGTATTAAACTGTTGAAATATATTATTAAATGCTCATCTACTTAACTGAACTGATTGCATATCTGGAACTGTATTAATCTCAGAACAGAAGAAAGTCTATCCTCATAATAGATTTATTAGACTTGAATGAGTAAGATTTTTTTTTTTCCCCTCTATAAGAACTAGTGTTAACAAGGAAAGAAAAAAAAAGGGCCCTGAACTGAGGCTTTTGGCTCTGCCACATTGAAAAACAAGCAAACAAAAAAGGCAAAATGAACAAAAAAAAGAAAACACAACCCACCCCCAAAAAACCACAAAGATAACAAAAAAGGCAGGAAGCCTAAAATTTTACTGATTATTATATTCTCCATTTCACATGAAGTAGTGTTGGGGTTTTTTTTATTTTGGGTTGGTTTGGGGTTTTTGTTTGGTTTATTTTTTATCTTGTATAAGCAGTCCTCCCTCAAAACACCAAGCCAGATTCTGCAATGAGATATTCCAGCTAGACAACATATCATAGCTCTGAAGTGAAAGTAACTCTAATGCAACACAAAATAGACTCTAACTCTTTGGGTTTTGATGTCGATTGCTCCATCAAAACACATCCCTCCCCCCCAAAAAAAGGGCAAAACAAAAAAACAACGTACAAACAGAATGCATTTAAATCTAACTGGGTTTTGTAATACAACAGAAACGAACCTTCTTGGAGTCCAAAGCCCACTACATGAGCCTAGCTAGTATTAGAGAGAGTCTTATGCTACAGTCAAGGAAAACAATGCAAAACACTAAATTAAGATAAGAAGTCGTCCTACTTTACGTTAGCCCTAGCATTAAACACTGAAGTCTAGCTTTCCATATTTTCCCAAAGCCATGGGATATGGTTTCCTAAAAAATTAAGGAAATATGACATGTGATTCAATTCTGTAATCACAGAGCTATTATTTCAAGTAGTCCAATGGAGGTGTACCTACTTCTCTGCAGGGGGAAAAAAAAAAAAAAAAAAAAATCAGTACGTCAGGGTATGTTTTCACCTATGCCATCCGAGGTCAAGTTTCATTAAAGTCTTTCTCAAGTGATCAGTTCCGTGATAGCTTTTACAGCAAGAAAATTCAACTTTTCTTTGTCCTGCTGCAACATATGGTGATACACATGCAATTCTATTTGAATGTGTCCTGTTCTGTTGGTTTCAATATATGGTATTTTAACTTCTTAGTTATCTTAACAATGTTTGAGATCACTGTTAGATGTAACATTTGCAGTTGAATGAGGCATTTAATGAGTGTCTGGCTGATATATTCTGCACTGTGATGATGCAGTAGTAGAAGATTTTCTGTGTTTATTCCCATGAAGTCTTTATTGCATAGTAGAAAATTCAGTAATTAAAAATAGAAGAATATTTATTTTCAGAATTACATTATTAAAACGGTACTTTCATGATAGCATACAGGCAACTATTTCTGAACATTCTCATGCATACGAATCCGGTCATTAGTTTTGATTCACTTTTAATTCCTGATTGAAATTGGCTTCTATCTCTAAAAGTCGCCTTTTACTAATGGTTCAATTTCACTCTACTTTCATCTTGAAGTATGCTGACATGTAACATGTGTTGACATGTCTTTCATTATCTACAGGTTATCCTAATACAATTGCCACCAAGCTAATCTTTCAAACACCTCTGGTAAAGGCTTGAATCAGTGCAAAATACTAATGCCGAGGTTATTAGCCATCATACGCGTTGAGCTCGTGTTACATTCTTTCTGAAGTCCTTAAGATTCGTTTCCAGTTTATGCTTGTATTGATTTTACAATCTTGCTTTTAAAGAAAGACACTTTCAGATTTTCATTCTTCTTATTTAAAGGATTTGTTACACTTTTATATCCCCACTCACACTTCACGCTTTTCTGGCTCCAGATTTCTTAATGCGCTGAAGATTAAGAGCCTGATCCCCCAAGTCCTTGTTCATGCAAGGAGTTGCAATGGATTCAGCAAGACTGCTTCCATGAGTAAGAACTGTCTATATAATTTACAATTTGTCAGACTGAGTTAAGGTAGCACTGAGCTAAGATAGGACAATATACCATTATATCTTTCTGAAAATGCTCTTCCTCAAGGCTTGAGGAAGAAGGGGTTTTATACCACTCCTAATTCAGACTGAAAGCAGCATTTCTCAACTTTGCATATATAATAAATAAGACAATAACACCAACGTTTCTAAACTTCTCATTTTTTATAATGATGTACTTTACAATGGTACATTTCATGGAGCACCATGAGATGAATTTGTAAGCAAGCTGGAGGTGGCCTTAACCACATAATTCATGCCTAGTTCCAGATATCAAACTCCTCAAGACTTGGGGATGTTTCAAGTTTGGAATGTCATTTCAAACACATCTGCAGTATAAATGTTTTTATTCTAGAGCACTTCAATCTGTTCTATTCAATTACAAAGAAAACATTGTAAACAAATTTATGATCACCCATTATACAGAAAATGAAAAACATATTTTTAGAAAGTTTCCACACAGAAGTAAGTCTGCTGTTTCTAAAGGAAGAATAAAAAGTGATTTAAAATATCATGTTATAAATATACAGAGCTTGCTGGTACAGCACAAAGGATTACACTACAAAACATAAAGCTACTGAGAACATTTAGGTGAGTTTCTAAAGAGACTCTTAATTAGCTTGTACAGTTGTACGCTGTAACCTGAAGTACACTTCTTTCCATTCTAAAAATGAAAAAGCCGTAAACACTTGGTACAATTACTGAGAGAAATATGAGGAGGAGCTAGTTTAAAACAAGTCTTTCTATTGCTTTGGTAAAATAACTACTTGTCTTAATTTTTGCCTGGAGTACTTACCCCATTGGGAGGAGAGGAAATCCATTCCAACTCTGTCTGTTGTGCTTTAGAGTCCAGCAATATTACTTAAAAAGAAAAAATAAAAAGAAGAAATTTCACTGTTTGTTAAATATCTTAAGTGGGAATATAAAACCAAAGAACAAAGTCTGAATTAAAAAAGTGATAAAAAGAATAATTTTTTTGTACAAATTAATATTTTTGTCATATTACTACAAAAAAAAATCTGCTACCACAACTATGCATTTACTTGTACATAGATGATTAAATGATTATATACGATCTACATATACGCAGATATACATTAATCTTAACAATTCTATTGCTTAAATCAAAGTGTATTTTTTTTTTTTTTAGTACTTTAAGTTGTTACTAATCAGTCATTAAGATGCACGCTCCCTTTACCTCCTTTGTCATAAGAAAGACATTTCCCATATGCTGGTTGTTACAATGAGCTTAAAACAAACAAATACCTACCAACATTTCAACATTTTTTCCAGACTGATTTAGACAGGACTAGTCTACACCTTACCAGGAGTTGCACTGCAAAAGCAATGGTCTTTCTGAGTTTGAAAGAAAAAAATATGTCCCTTAGGTGATAAAGCAGTAATTCTATAAACAAATGAAAACCAGGAATACAGAAAATAAAAGACTCTGCAATTACCTCACACTTTGCAAATACAAAATACTACATACACAAATTCAGACCAATTCACTTTATGGTAATGACTTACTAAAATCTTCATGTCATTATACTCCAGTGACACTTCTATACAAAAAGACATCAGTTCTAGTAGCACTGCAATTATTTTCAGCTAATTGTAACCCTGTCTCCAAAAGTGGTTAATCACAGCCTAATAAACCAACTCTTACATATTTTACAGTACATATTGGAGGTTATATTACTGATATTCTGTTACCTCCAAAAGTACATTTCTAGATATGTCTTACATTTCAATTATAGCTATAAGCTTCTTTCTTAGCCTATTATTGTAAGTGTCTATAAGACTTTCAAATGGTATGTATGTTAATCTATGATGTCCAAAAACAAACACAAAAAAAAAGTGAAATTATTTGCTGTAATATCTTCTTTTAAACAGCCAAAGTTGTAAAACGATCAACCGTATGTCTAAGTTTGGTAGACTTTGAAGATTCCATCTTCAGAGCTGCACGTTTAACTTCGTACTTCTATTTGATTAAATAAAAAGTAACATTTCTAATTTAAATCTATCCAGTATATTTTTAGCTATAAAGCTATTTGTAACTTTATACACAGCATTTAAGTACTGATATTTCAATGCATGATTTAAGGCTGTAACTTGAAGCAACTTTTGTCAGGCCTTTTGAAATCGTTGTAATTTTGGCTCTGGCCCTTTCTCCTAGTAGAATTTAACACAAAATTTCAGTGAATTACTAGAAAGATGAGATGACTAAAAAAGTTATTTAAAGGTTCATACGGTAATATCTGGAACATTAGCTGAACGCATAACAGTAGCTTCCGACCCTATATTTCAGTAATAAAGTGGAGCTACTTGTTACGGAAGTTTGATAGTCTCTCTCTAGAAAGATTATCTGCTTATTTCATTAAGCTTGGATTCAAGGGGCTTTACTTTGTAACACATTCTATAGAAAAGCAGGTTGTGTATGCAGTGGTTTGTTAAACAAGAACATTTATAATGGGCCTGGAAAAAAAGGTGCCACGAAAAATTTAACCATTTCACTATCAGCACAACGTCCCATGGCTGCAAGTCATTATGCGTTTTATTTGGAGGTGATTCTCCATCACATAGCGACGGGTGGGCACATCCCAGAAAGAAAAGGCAACAAGCAAATAAACAAACATAAAGCCCTGCTCTGCAAACACCCCTTGCAAAGACAAGGTGGCGTTTCCGTGTGGCACCGAAAGTTCCTGGGGGGAAGAGCTTTCCGGGCCGGCGGCTGGCGCGCTGCTCCCAGCCCGGGAGCTCTGTGGCCGTCAGGGCTCGTTGTACAGGGCTGGGAAGGGATGCGGGAGGACGGCGCCG